TTTGTAGTAATATGCGATTTATTTCCTAATTTCAGCTATGGAATTCCATACCTTGAAAAACTTGAGGTATGGAGTGCTCCATACCTTCCATAGTGGAAGTGACACCCCTGAATAGTGGCTTATGGTCTGTTCGTAGCGTGAAAGGCGTGGATCGACCATACAAATACTGATGAAAACGTCTTACGCCATAAATAATGGCCGTCGCCTCTTTCTGTATTTGTGCGTAATTCTTTTCAGCAGCTGTAAGCGTTCGCGAGGCATAAGATATGGGTCTTTCTAATCGGTCGTCGCCTATCTGAGACAATACAGCCCCTAACCCTGTTGGAGACGCGTCAACTGCGTTCGGGTTAAAGTGGGTTAAAATTTTGTCACTAGCGAGATAGCTTTTTATTTTCTTGAACGCATCGTCATGTACAGAAGTCCACTCCCATTTAGATTTTATATTTAATAAGTTGTAGAGTGGACTTAGTATAGACGAAGTTACGATAATAATTCGCTAAACCAAGGAAAGACTGCAATTGTAAGACATTATTAAGACTTTGGATCTCGATTGCTTCTTCAACACAAGCTGTATTGAAGTTGCGTAAGTCCCGCCGCATGCATTTGGAGATCTGTCTGTTCAGTTGCCTGTATGCTGTCAAATCTATTGAAGACTGCAGCTTCATATCCCGTCCTACAGCCATGAGATTAAGAGTGTAATCGGAGAGTTTTTGTGTTCTTCTGCGGCGGGTCTTGCAGAACTTAGTTCCGACCGCATGGACAGTTTCCACGAGCTTGTCATTCATATCGTCACTTGAAAGTCAGAGGTCTTTAAATGATCTGAGCAAATGACACTGTTTCTTATGGGAAGTCAGGTAAGCCTGTTATTACAAAAGTACTTCCATATATCCTTTAAACTTTGATCTTTAGGAAACCCGCAATAAATAAATAAAAAAATTCACACTTAATAATTTTAATATAATGTATTAATACTCGTAAGTATGTATTTGATACAATTTTAATATTAAACTATATTAAAGTAAAGCTCACTATATATATTAAATAAATCAGAAAACACAAGAGATATGGCTGTATAGACCATATTTGCCATTTGACTTTTTTATCGATAACTGTAAACAAACTGGTATATCAAAACTATCGCTCGGTGACAGCAACAACTCTGTTACAGACTCGGAGTCGGAGCAGTCGCTCGACCGAACCGCATATAGTATGAGGGCGAGCAGCCTGTGTTGGTTAACAAATGCGAAACAACACGACCGTTACTATGGCAACTATGGACCGTTATTATTGTAATAAAAATTACATTAATAGTATTAAAAAGAAATAAATAGTACTAATGTCATTGTGAATTACTTACATATAAAAGGTAACGCCATCATTTTGTACATTTGACGTGGCAAATCTCTTATTGCAGCAAATTTTTGAAGGACGTCGATTCAGGCGCACACTAAATTTAGTCTAGTGAGTAGTGCGGTTGCAACTAATTTTATTGTACGCATAGCACCTGTGGACGAAAGCCGTGTATCCACCAAAAATGTTGACAACAGTTATGTTTCCAACTGTTTACAACTGTTTCATACAAGCGTCTCCACCGAGGGAACAAATGTTTGCAACAACCGTATTCCTTTGATGTTGCTGCCGAAAATGGAAACACGGTTCACGACATTGTTTCAAGTTTTGTTACCAATTGTTTTGTTGGCAAAAATTTTGGTGGAGACACTGCTTTACACTTTGGCACAGAGGAACGCCTGTGTATGGCCACTCCCGTCCGGTACGTGGGCGGCCCGTATTGTTTTATGGCGTAATACCATAAAGCGTAAATTGGAATGGCAACTAACTAACACTGAATCAATAATCACTGACACAGGTTTTATATGTCATTTATATGTAACTGTAGTAATATAATTTTGTATAAGTAAATTGTTTAACAATGCTATCTAGTATCAAAAATATTATAACATATTAAAGCGTTGAACATTCCGCCCACCAAGAACGTTATTAAACGTTCTTTCCATTCCGCCCACCATGACATAACTGAGCAGTAGGCTTAATTTATATGTTTCTTAGGCATCAAAAAACATACTTAATCTAATTTAAGCACTAGCTATTGCAACCGTGAGATAAATTATGATTATTGTGTAACAGACAAAATACATAACCTTGAAGTTGGTCTTTTTAAGAGAGATTGACCACACTCACCAATGTCACAACGCGAGTGATTTGGTCTAAGCCAGGATGCTTGGCAACCACTCTTCCTAACAGCCAACGGCCTGGAGGAAGATTGTCCTCCTTAATTAAAACTATGTTTCCAATTTCAGGTTCGGGTATTATCTTTGACCATTTATGTCTCTGTAAACAATTCACCAAATACTCTCTGGACCATCTTCGCCAAAAATCCTGCACCATTATTTGAGTCATTTGCCAGCGTCTCAGAGTACTGATGTTATATGTATGTTCATAGTTTCGTTCTGGTACGATTACTAGAGCTTCGCCAACGAGGAAATGTCCTGGAGTTAGAGGCTCGGGATCACTGTGACACTAAGACATATTGGATGCATACGCCATCGGATAATAATATGACGTAAGTCTTGCTGAAGCGTGGGGCCAATCATCAATGTATCGTTTAGAGATACTCTGTTTGTTCCCTTGCAAGAGGAGTCAAACACTACCTTAACCTTCGTAGTAGTTTTATCCTCTCGTATAACGGCGTGATGGGGTAAATATACTGATTCCGATTTATTAAGGTCACTGCCAGTTATAAGTTGCATGTGGCTTAGGTTCAAATATTCATGTATGACTTCGGAATATCTTGCCTTGAATTCTGAGTTCTTTTTGAAACGGTTTTCAAGAAGATGAAATCCCTTTATTGCAATGTGTCTGGAATTCCCATACTTACATTGAGGATTTTCTTCACGGAAGGGAAGTCTCACTATGTATCGACCTGTTGAATCCCGCTGAGTGGTAAAACTGTAATATTCCTCACATCGCTGTTCTTCCTGATTAAGAATCTTGCTTTCACCAAAATCGGATTCAATTTGCCAAAATCTCTTTAATAATTCATTGTCATCAGTTTGAGAGTGCATGCTAATAATATTATGGTGACAATGAGATAAAGGTGCTTGATTATGATCGGGTAACTGTGTGGGGCCAGATAGTATCCATCCTAAGGCAGTACACTGAGCAGTTGGAATGCCATTAGGACCCTTGACCAACCCTTCTCTTATAACCTGACTGTAAACGTCTGAACCAAGTAAAACGTCTATTTTACTTGGGCTGTAAAATTGCGGGTCGGCAAAAGTGATATTAGCCAATTCTGGCCAATCTACATAAATTTGGCTACAGCGTTAGAGCTGGTTGCCATGGAGTGTATTACCTTAGGTTTTTGGTTTGAAACATTTGGTTTGCTTTTTTGTTTGGGATCCATGAACTCAAGTGACCGAAATCGGGTTTCCAGAAATTCTCTTAATTGGTTCAACGTTGGCAGTTCTTCTGAAGTGATTATTTTTGATTCCCAACATTTTCGGGACTCTGAATCCAATTTTGAACCAATTATGTATATAACAATTGTATCCCATGAATTTACATTTATTCCCAAATTTTTCAAACCATGTAACGTGTCATTGGTAACGTCTAACATGTTTTTAATTGCATTACATGACTTGCTGCCGATGCTTTGTCGATTCATAAAACGCTTTAATAGACAATTCGCAATGTATTTTTTATTATTATAACGACTGTTAAGTGTTAACCACGATTCTTGGTAATTAGCCGATGTTATAGGTACATGCCTTAAAAGCTGTTCGGCTTCTTCTGAAAGATGCCCTTTCAAATAGTGCATCTTTTGCACATCATCTATTGAAGAGTTATTATGGATCAACGATACATATAAATCTCTAAACGTTGTCCATTCTACATATGACCCCGAAAAAGTGGGGATGTTTATCTTAGGTAATTTAACATTGCTTTCAACTTTAGAAGTAAAATGAGAACAATAACGTGAGACACTAGCTTGAGTCTTTAGAACAAATAATGCTTCTCTGATATCAGACTTATAATCAATATACATTTTCTCTACACTTTCATAAACACCTTCTTTGTAGTATTTAGATTCTACTAATTGCTCTGATAACTCTATAGACATTTTTTTATGCGTTTCTGCGAATATCTGCCATTTTTCTTCTAATGAATCTAAACTAGTGAGTAAATACGACTCTTTACATAGGCGTTCTTTTGGCGATTTTTTTATAATTTTCATAGGCATTTTCTATCATAGACTTATATCCTAGCTGACTCTTTATTAGGGCTGACAACGACATTTTGGTAGAATATCCAAAGCAAAGTTTTTTGTTTACAAAATTTTACAAGTGTTTAGGAGAATAAAGGAAGTTACATAAAATTGGGCATAGGTTCCCCATATGATATTTTTTTGAATAGTTATTCTAAGTTACTAACTAACATGAACAAATTATTAAAGTTTACATTTATCATTAATTATTCTATATAATAAGTCTTCAATAAAATTCTTGATATTTTAAAAGTTATTGAAATCCTTCAAATTATCAACTTTTTTAACTTCACTGATAAATTAGAAAAATGTACTAACGATTTTTCATTTGTAAACCACTCAACTCGGACAATGACGTCGTTCACGTCACTGTTATGATGATGACTCCACTGCAGATTGTTCCTTCCGCACGCGTAGCTTTACACGTCACGGATGTGACGTCACGTTTATGACGTTGCTGCTGCTCTGCGTCGAACTTCTTACTTTGTACTCCTCGACTGAATGCGGCCGGCACACTCCAAACGCACAACACCGCACTGCACTCAATCAACCGATCCGATTCACTAGAGTCGTCCGGTGCGCACCTTCAGTGGCGATCCACCACTGGTTTCTAGTGCGAATTTTTCAAAAACACATCGGAATCGATTAGGACCATGTACAATGACCAAACCACATATCTAATTGACTACTACAGGTTATAATAAAACTACCGAGTGCTTGATACAAGTGCTTTATTACGATATCATGCATCTTAGCTATACTATTTGCAAAGGGCAAATGATATCGAGATTTAGGAATGCAACAATTTTTTAGCAGTACCATCTAATGTCAAAACATTGTATTAATAAAACTTTTATATGTCATTTATATGTAACTGTGGTAATATAATTTTGTATAAGTAAATTGTTTAACAATGCCATCTAGTATCAAAAATATTATAACATATTAAAGCGTTGAACAATCTTGTATTAGAAAAAGAATATTTTTTAAATCGACAACTTTTTTGACATACACAATCGTTTCATTTTATTTTTTAAATCTTTTTGTCTTGCAGTTGACGGTTTATCGACGTTTGTTTTGTAAATAATTTAAAATTAAAAATTTTGTTCAGCCGACTTCACTATAAATTATTATGAATAACTCAAAAATTATTAGCCAGACTTTGATCAAATTTATATGGAATCACATGTGAAATACCAGCTTACAAATAAAAAAGAATCATCGAAATCGGTTCACCCAGTAAAAAGTTATAAGGTAACACACATAAAACAAAACATACAGTCGAATTGAGTACCGGCTCCTTTTTGAAGTCGGTAGAATATTAAAGAAAATAACAATTTTAAAAATTTACATAAAATATTTTATTTCTTGCTTTAAAAATAAGATTGTTTACGCTATAAGCCGCAAAGTTCGCGCTTTATCTAACCAATCTGAACGCGACACATAGCTACCGCAAAGTATTCGATTGCCGGTAAAACTTGTTCTGCCATGAAGCACTCGGAAGTTATCAATTGCTATCACCACACCTGTAAAAAGTAATGGGTAGTTCAGCAAAGATCGAATTGGATTCTGCTGTAACACGAGAAACCCTTATAATTTTGTTCTGTTTGTCAATCCTAAAGTGTGGCAGCGGCATTTGTCATAGTTGTCATGCTTGGCAGTTGGGTTGGCTACTACGGTTTTTAATTATTTTGAGTTATTACTAGAAAGATGCAATATGATGAATATTTTTCCAGTTCATTAATTAAATGTAAGACATTTTTAAAAGATAAGCATAATGGGCGAGTCGATCGTGTGTTTAATAATTCTCTGTTTATTTACTATTTATGACTTCATCACCTCTTACCACCAATAGAGATGTGAGAATGACTACAATTGTCAATTACAGGTTTATTTTAAGTTAAAAAAAATCGGTTGTCTGTAAAGTCGGTTTACTGACGATAGTTGAACGTGACAACGTCATAAGAAAATGTTGCTATAAACAATTGACACCACATTCACTTTTCACTGCACTTCATACTTGATGAAAACATGTAAATGTATTATTGAATAGCAGCTGTCCATGCGGACGCATCGCTCACTCAAGTAGGAGAGAGACAGATGTCGAACGCTGCCGAACGCGGAGGCCGATTGTGCCTCTTTGTCGCTGGTTCCGCGCTCTCGCTTGCACTTCAAGCCTTAAATGGAACGCTTCAGAGCTTGGTAACGCCGCATGAGTCATGTTTTTTCGTGCGTGCAGCCAGCTTCATCGAATTATAAGACGTTGTCACGTCAAAAAAAAACAGTTACGTGATCGTAAATGTTAACTAATACAGATGTTAGATCTTGTGTCCTCTAGTTTAGGGTTTGTTGTTGATTGTTGAGTTGCACAACAGTTTACGAAGCGCGAGCTTGCGTGCATGCGTGTACGTATGTGTGTGCGTTTGCATGTGCGTGAGCGTGCGTGTCTGCGTGTGCGTGTGTGCATGCGTACATGCGTGTATGTGCGTGTGTGTATGTGTGGATATGTGTGATCTTTGGTAAGTAATCACTTTAATTATATCAATTACCTGGTGTAAGTTTAAATTGCCATTGGTTAGAAGGCTCTTCATAATATCGTGACAAGTTTTTCAGTGCCCGGTAATAAGCTAAGCACTCTTCTCGGCTAGAGAATGCCATGGGTGTACGATCATAGGAATTAAACCTAAAATAATTATATGGATTATATACTACGTTAGGGACCGACTTATTTACATTGTTATTTCCAGAAGTCAATTAATTTTCGGCAACTGGTTTTACTTAAAATCTCAAATCATTATAAATAAAATCACACATTCATTTACAATTATATAAATACTATTTTCTAAATTGTAATAATTTCCGTGTAAGTAGTGTATTAAATTCCATGTAGTAGTATACGAATATCTACCATCTCATATTCCTGTGGATGTCATAATAAGCGACAGAGGGAAATAACACAGGATATGGGCAACAGCGTCTTCTTAATAACTACCTTTATGAGGTAATATATTGGGAGTCCTATGTTCAGTAATGGACTTGGACTGGCTGTAATGAATGAAAAATAATGGTACTTGTTTATGATTTATTTATTACTACCTTTTATCCGCAACTTCATCTGCATAGAACTTAAGCTAAAAAAAACTTAGAGAAATGTAATAGTGGTCTTGAAAAGCCAAGAAGTGTCACTACTGAAAAACCTCTTTAAACACAGCTTTTTTTTGCTGTTATTTCGAAACCTATGTGCGATGTGGGAATTTTTTTCATACAATATCCATTAATTTCACGTAAAAAAGTTCTTTTATAATATCGCACAGTCAATTTAGTTAACGTCTAATCTATGTGTTTCTTAAAGGGATATCCCTGTCCGGATATAATGCATTTCGTGGATAATGACCGAAACCAAATATTCTTTTATTATACAATGTATATCTACTACTGCTATGTTCCTCTTGTTAGCTTATTTTGAAAACTAGAAACCTTCACAATATAACTAAATCAATCCAGTTTTTCAATAGAATTAGGGTTGTAACGATTGGGTTATGAGCCCATAGAGATCTACATCATTTTTATGTGGTAGAGTCATGCTGCAGCTATATTAATAGTATAGTTGTAGCACGAATGTGTCGGCTCGACCGGGGGAGGACCACGCTCTCACAGAATACCAGTGTAAAATAGCAGCTTAATGCTGCTGTGTTTCGTATGGTGAGTGTAGAGAACCGGAGACCCATTTTACTGGAAAAGAGGCATTTGATCTTAGTCGTCACGGCTGACTACGCATCTGCATTTTAATTCGCAAACGAATATAGATGACGATGTCTATGGGCTACAGCAACCACTTACCATCAGGTGTACTGTGTGCTCGATTGTCACTCTTATTCAAAAAATCCTCAATTGAGAATCAAAATGCAGACGAGTTGTCACTTCCGAGGAACAAGTTAGAATGCCTCGTTTCCAGTAAAAAGGGTCTTGTGTTCTCTACATTATACCAGACAGATATACCATTTAACAAAAGTATGTATAAATTACAATCAAAATTTTTTGATAAGTCGTTCGTGGCAACATAAATTAGCCGCTCTTTATTGTTGTACTAATCGTTTGTTCACTGTCCATTTAAGTAAAGAAAATTATTTAAAAAAGCTTAATGTAATTTATCAAATAGGGTTCTATAAAATCGGCGGTTTTTCGTAAAATTTCATTAACAATAAAATTAAAAAGAAACAAAAGCATGTTGTTCGCAACTCTCTATACGCGGTTCAACATCAAAGTGTTCGTCGATATGTGAGCAGTTTGACCTACTTAGGCCCCATATCTGAAAAAGTAGCTAATATTCTTCGACAAAGCGGCGTTTATGTGGCGTTCAAAAACAAACAATTATCTTAGGAATATCTGTAATAATAAAGATAAGTTGGATATACGTTAAAAGTCGAGTGTTTACAAACTTGTTTGTGATGAATGCCACGCCGTTTACGTGGGTAGCCGCGTACAGGAATTGTAATCCCGATAAATCCTATTTTGCTAAACATGTTTTGGACACTGGATACAACTTAGCCAACGGCCACTCCTTTAAAGTCTTACATACGTGTAATAAAGGTCTTACTTACGTGTAAAATCCAGCACACACAGTTACAGGGTGACCGTAACAGTTAGAGATATTAAAAAAAATAATAGTAACATTGCTTTGCTGATCATTCAACAAACAAATGTTTCTAACTCACCTCTCTTAAATATCTTTAAGCCTGATCTCTAATAACAGACAGCCTCGCAATATAGTCGTTTGTTACCCTCATGGTGATTGGCGATTGGTTGCGTGGTTGGAGGGTAGGTAGGCGTTACGCGGCGGTTTTTTTTAATTTTACAAGCGGCTGCGTACGTCAGGTGGTGGTTGATCGCATTTTTAATCGCATGACGCAGTCGCTCGCTACTTAAGTAGGAAGTGGTTGCGTCAGCGGGCTGTATAAATAGCAGTTGTTTTGGCTCGCCGCTTTCCGGAGAGCAGCACTCTATTTCACCCCTGAATATAGGCGTACGGTCAATCGTCTTCAACGAGAAGTCCGATCACGCCTTTCCGATCTTCAAGACCTCGAAAAGAGTAATCTCATGGAGAATATCTCTTCCTCTCATACAGCGTAGGTACTATCAGATGGCGAGAGCCCTCCGCATAGACGCCATCAGTCTTACTTCCCCTCTCTCCCGTCTCGACGGTACTATTGCCTTCTAGCACGAGGAAAAGGCTGAGCGCTTTGCAGATAGCATCGCCGCTCAATGCTCTCCTAGCTCACAACCCACTGACCCCTCCCATATCCAGACAGTGGAGGATAAGGTTCGCCGCCGGAACTCACCCCCCGCAGCCTCTGACCCTATCACTGTGTCCAATGATGAGATCTCGTCCATCATCAAAGGATTGAAGCCCAAAAAGGCCCCGTGCGCGGATGGCATCTCCAACCAAGCCTTCAAACATTTTCCTGAGCAGGTGTTAACGCTATTGGCTATTATCTTCAACGCCTGCTTCAACCTTAGTTACTTTCCCACCACGTGGAAATAGGCAACTGTCATTGGTATCCCCAAGATAGGAAAGCCTCCTCTCCCTCATCATAAACGACGCCACCTCACTACCTTTCATACGGAACAAGATCCAAAAGTCAGTTAATGACTTAGGAGCTTGGTTCCAAAAATGGTGTATCCATGTGAACCCGGATAAGAGTTCCGCCGTTCACTTCGATCATAAACGACGCCACCTCACTACCTTTCATATGGAACAAGATCCAAAAGTCAGTTAATGACTTAGAAGCTTGGTTCCAAAAATGGTGTATCCATGTGAACCCGGATAAGAGTTCCGCCGTTCACTTCGATTATAAATGACGCCGCCTCACTACCATTCCGCCAATCCGTATGCTAGGGATCCCTGTCCCCTGGCATACGACCGCCAAATACTTAGGTGTCACCTTTGACACGAAGCTCACCTTCGGGCCCCATGTTAAAAGAGTAACTCGCAACGTGCATTTTTATCTGAGTAGGCTCAACAGTATGCTGGGCCGACACAGTAAAATGTCCCTGCGAAACAAGCGAACCCTTTATAAGGTCTGTATACCACCAGTTATGACTTACACGGGGCCCATATTTGCTCACGCTAAACCCAATATCCTTAACGAACTTCAAATAGTTCAGAACAATTTTTATCGTCGGGCTACAAACGCACCCTGGTACGCCATAACACCGACTTCCACCCAGACTTAGAGCTCCCCACAGTCCAATAGTTCCTAAAATCACTCTCTGAGAACTTCTTCAAAGCCTCAGAGTCTCATCCCAATCATCTCATTCGTGAGGCAGCATCCTATGCATCCCCTCTCGCTATCAAGTCCGCAGGCCGAGAAACTCTCTCTCGGACCCCCCTCTTCTTCATACATGCACGTCTAGGTATCCGAGTACTCTTGACCCTCCCCTCTTCGAGCAATTTGCTCACACGGTCTTCGAAAGTTAGTCTCGGTCTACCTCAACACCTTTGAATATTTACTTTCGCGCTATATATTTTCTTCACCATTTGGTCTTCACTCATTCGTTCAACGTGCCCAAACCATCGAAGCACGCACTTATCAATTTTTGTGATAAGGTCATCTTTCAAACCTGCCATATTGCGAATCTCTTCGTTTCGCTTTCGGTCGGCCATGGTAACGCCGCACATTTTACGAAGAGATCGCATCTCCACTGCATTCAACTTACTTTTATGCTTCTTCTGGTATACCCAGGTTTCGCTGCCATATAACAAAGTCGGCACCAACACTTCGTTATGTATTGCAAGGCGTGCACTCTTCACTACGCCTTGCAATACATAACGCAGTGAAATGAAATATGGGTAAATCAAGAATGTCTAGAACAGGTAAATGAAATTGTATACTTGGGGAGTGCTTTCAGCCGGGATAGAAGATGTGATTTAGATGTTGACAGGCGTGTCGCTGCCGGGAACAAAGTCAACGGTGCCCTGACTGCGTTAGTCAAAAGGCAAGACGTAGATTGTATTTAGAAGTTTATAAAGGAAGTTTCATGTGTATACAAGTTTATCGGCCCTAAAGACGTTGCTCTGCCACACATAACAACAACAACAATCTTTAATCAATCTTTCAAAGTCTTTATAATGTCTGATACACAGAAGTACTTAAAACAGATAATATATAAATAAAAGTTAAGACTTCATAATAGATAATAATATATGATATAGACTTAACAAAAGGGATGCCAATATTTTAGTACTATAATTACAAACATAAATAGTTTATTATAATAAGCTAGCCTAACTATAAAATAAAAAAAATCTAATTGCCTATTAAATCGACGTAGTAAATAAATTCTATTGATAACTTTGCATATTTACTTGCTCCACAGCACGCATGACAATAGCGGACAATAACATTAGCAACAAACTGACCTCATCCTCGAACAGATTCGGACCAAAAAGCCTTGAAATATCATTTTGCATTGAAAAGATTACGATTTGTTGAAGCTCCATTATCCCGACTACAAACCAATAACAGGTGGTGCGTTGGTTTGTAGTATTCGATACATAAACATCGTTGATGTTGCGTGCCGCTAGTACCGCTTTGCTGCCACTACGGTACTCATATTCCATAATTGCTCTTTTAATGTATCCATCATGATGAAAAAAAATTCAAATGCGATTAAAGCATAATGCTAATCAATAAACAAATAGCTAATTGTGAAAAAAGAATTCTATGATTTTAAAATAAAATTATTTTGACTATTTGATTTATATATTATGATTATTTTTTAATACATTGATTAGAATTATTAGTAAAACAAAAATTATTGTGATTTGAAATGGCTAGTACTGCAGACATGTACTCCGCGATGTACTCTTAAGCTACTGAACTGAATTTAATGAAATTTTGCACTCTGTGTGCAGTTTGGTTCAACTTGAGGAATAATATGGTTCATATCCCGATAACTTTTTATTGTACTTGTTATTATTAACATGTCAGTCCCATTGTGCCTTATAACTAAATGGCACAAAACAATTTAAATTACTTATAAAATATAGTCAATAAATGATAAACCATTTGAGCAGTACCTGACAGTGGTTCAGAGAGTATAATTTGATTTTTTTTTATAGGGGAGGGGGCAAACGATCATACGGCTCACGTGATGGTAAGTGACTAACGCCGCCCATGAACAACTGCAACACCAGGGGAATTGCTAATGCGTTGCCGGCCTATTAAAAAGGAGTAGGCTCTTTTATTGAAGGTCTCTAAGACGTATCGGTCCGGAAAAATCGCTGCTGGTAATGGATTCCACAAGGAAGTTATGCGAGGGAGAAAAATTCTTCTAAATCTCACAGTGGTGGACCGCCAATCATCCAGATAGTATGGATGGTAACGCGAGTTTTGTCGCGATGTGCGATGGTGAAATTGAGCGGCTGGAATTAGTCCGAACAATTCCTCAGAGCACTCCCCGTGATAGATGCGATAAAATACGCAAAGAGGTGCAACATCTCTACACAGTGCCAGTGAGTCAAGCCGATCGGAAAGAACTCGTTCAGTCGATGATTCGAACCGCTCTGCGTTGGATGCGGTCAAGTGGAAGGAGCTGGCACTGGGGAGCCCCTGCCCAGAGATGGGAGCAGTATTCCATGTGAGGCCGAACCTGCGCCTTATAAAGTTGCAATTGGTGTGCCGGCATGAAATACTGTCCCGCTCTGCTGATCATGCCAAACTTTTTAGAAGCCAATTTGGCCAAGTTCTCTTCCAAGTAACCACGAAACTGCACGTCACTCGATATGTCGACACCGAGGATTCCGATACTGGCTGAGGCAACAAGGGGAGTGCCTTGAAACTGAGGAAATACGATAAAGGGGTTCTTTTTAGCGGTAAACGCGCAAAATTGTGTCTTGTGGGGATTGACTGGAGAAGATTTAGTCGCCCCCAGTCTGAGACTTTGTTCAACAAAGAATTCCCCTATGTTACACATTTTAATGTCAGTTTTGGCGACCAATAGTTTCCTCTCGTGATGGTTTTTGGAATACTCCGCGAGCAAGAGTTGTATGTCTTCGATTGTATTGCAATTTGGACATTGTTTCTTTTTCATCATGAAAGCAAACTTATTGCACGGAATATGTCATATGAATACGCATTGCTAATATAACAGATTTTCTGTTCAATAGACGTTGATTAAACCAAGGCACTTTCGGAGGCTGACTCTGGATAGTTTTGTACCAAATCCCTTTTTCTTGCGACCTTTTATCAAAATATTCTTACCAAAGTTTTTTTACGTGGTAGAGTCGTTGCGTCTTTGTACGTGGTAGAGCCATGCTGCAGCTATATTAATAGTATTAATATAGCTGTTGTAGCACGTATGGGCCGGCTCGACCGGGGAAGGATCACGCTCTCACAGAATACCAGCGTAAAATAGCAGCTTATAACTGATGTGTTTCGTATGGTGAGTGTAGAGAACCGGCGACGCTTTTGACTGGAAAAGAAGCATTCCATCTTAGTCCTCACGGGTGACAACGCATCTGCATTTTGATTCTTTATTGAGGATAGATGTGGATGTCTATGGGTCACAGCAACCACTTACAATCAGGTGGACTGTGTGCTCGTTTGTCACTCTATCCTATATAAAAAGTTTCTCTTTGTATTTAATCAAAATTTCTGTATAATCTGTATCAATATTAATTAGATTCTCTTCCTTATGTAATTGCCAATTTAGTTTATCAGCCTCTTCATTGCCCTGTAAACCGACGTGTGATGGTACCCCCTGTAAAATGATTTTTTTATAGGAAGATAAAGGGTCGTCGAAATGGGAAGAACAAGATCTGCCTAGCCAGATAGTATGTTATACTTATATTTTATTCTACGTATGCTTAATTTTTCCACAAAATTTCTGAGTTAAGTAACGTAAACTCTTCGTACTCTGCAACTGTGTACTTCAAAGACAGCCGTCAGTGATGTCATTATACGCTAGTTTTTTGGGGAAAGCGTCGTCTTACCAGATCGAACGGACCCATTCGTGCTAAAACCATAACATAGCTGCAGTGTTTCTCTACCACGCATGTAAAAAGCCGTTATCAGATTATTTAATTTGTTACCAGCAAACAAATTTTCACTTAAACTTCAAACTTCTTGGAGCCTGGATATCCATTTAAGTAATCATTTCTCTTTATTCTAGATTTTCTATAATCTAAGTACGAGTAAATTTATATATTTTTCAATTAGGATATTTACATTTTAGACGTCACGTATTACGAAGTAGAAATTAAGTAAAAATTTTATGTATATAAATACCGTATTTGTTTTATATCCTTCATCTTATCAATTGTTATAACTGGCCCTGAATGTCTGTAGTGATGCCCGTCTTCGAGGAATTCTGCGTCAATATCAAAACTTGTCAGGAATTCGTAGTCGTTAGGAAACTCTTTTTCTAAAAGTTTGGCTCCATAAAATCCATCAACTAAAATTGTTTCCCCGCCTGTGCCATCTGTGTGCTCGAGACCGTGAAATATTTGAAGTCTGAAAATAGAATATCCTTAGACCAAATAATTAAGATAAAAGGAGTAAATATAATATACTAGCTGTCCTTCGAGACTTCGGCCGCGTGGAATTTACTATGATTTCATGGGTTTTAATTTTTTTTTGCGCGGAACCCTAATTCCGTTTCTAAAACAAATGTATCCTAAGTTACTCCTTATAATATCAGCTATCTGCCAGTGAAAAAATTTTAACAATTGTTTTTTTTTGTTATTAGTACCGTAAATACTTTCATATGCATTTAGGAAAAGGCTGTTATTTTAACATTACAAACAGATACTTCAATTTTATTTATTTTTAGTATGTCTAGATATAGATGAATTTTTACATTTCTTTTTGATTTCATTGATTTGACGTATGATTCGATAGCGGCTCTTGGGCACTATGGTCTGATTAGTATTATACTTTGCTACTAAATATTTCTTTAGCGGGCGTAAGTTGTCTTACTATGTCATATATTTTTTTTTACCCACGACGGAACGGAGAAGGTTTATGGGTTTAGGGTGGGAGATTGATATTAAACTCTTTTTACATATGGAGGAAATAAGAAAATTCCGATCAGCATTTTAACATTTTATTCGTTACTCTTGACGATTATGTGGGTTGCTGCAGGTAGATTGGTGAATGCAGAGCCAATATCTTCGTATTAGCAATTATATTACATATTCAAAAAATAAATGAATTTGCTCGACCCAACTAGGGAGGCGCTTTGACAAAACACCAGCGTTAGATGTTACTGGTTACTAATAACGAGGCATTCTATCTAAGTACTTCTATCTAAGACACATCAGCATTTTGATTGTAAATCGATGTAGATGTCTATGGGCCGCAGCATCCACTTACTACCAGGTGAACTGTGTGCTCACTTGTCACACTTATTCTTTAAAAAACATTTAGTCACATTTTAGCTCATTTAGAGTTTATTAATTATTTGTTTGGGTTAAATAAAACGGTTATAAAATGCATTAAATGTTTTAACGTTAAATGTTATTTTATTACCCTGCTGCTTCAGTAAAGTAAGTGTTGTCTGTATGTTCGGCTAGATGAATATTCGTGTAGGCTGTGTCTGTAGGTTTTATGTCTGTGTGCACTAGCCACATTCCACCAAACATCGTGTGTTGAACACCACCTAGAGCTTTACACACTTTTTCTGTCGCCTCCATTGTTGGCTCTACCTGTAATAGACAGAATGAAATATGCATTTTTTGGCAAATTATTCAAAAGTATGTAGATTTACAGACATAGATTTTATTATCGTGGTAGAGCCACGCTGCAGCTATATTATGGTTGTAGCACGAATGCGATTGGCTATACCAGGAAAGGACCACGCTCTCATAGAATACCAGCGTGAAATAGCAGTTCAATGCTGCTGTGTTTCGTATGGTGAGTGTAGAGAACCGGAAACCCTTTTTACTGGAAATGAGGCGTTCCATCTTAGTTCTCAAGGGTTACAATACATGTTCATTTTTATTCTTAATCGAAGAAAAATGTTTATGGGCCACAGCATTCACGACCTTCTGGTGGACGGTGTGCTTATTTGACACCCTTTTCTATAAAGAGCATTACAGGCAGAGCTATTTAAAAAAAAACCTAGGAAAACTTCTTTTGGCCATTTTCGAGGATCAGTTTCTTCATGGATCTTAGGTGCTGTTTTCTGATCCTTTAGGATGCATGGCGATTATGGCATGTATTTGTAGCTTGTGTGAGAATAAATTATTAAAGTATAGCACCCAATATATTTTTAGTTCAATAAACGACATCGCAGACCATATGATGGTAAGTGGCCACTGCAACACATGGATAAAACGTTGTGATTATAATATACTCGTACTCTTTGCCCATGGACATTAACTCTACACAAAGGAAGTTAAGTTGGAGAGGTCTCGTCTAATGAAGTCAACGCTCCGTCCCCCTCGTGCTCTAATCCAAAGTCCCGAAACCTTTCAGCTCGAGTTACAAAACCGTTTTCAGTGCCTAGAAGACTGCAATGAAGTGGACGATTTGAATGACAAGCTCGTGGAAACTGTTCATGCGGTCGGAGCTAAGTTCTGCAAGACCCGCCGCAGAAGAACACAAAAACTCTCCGATCACACTCTTAATCTCATGGCTGTTAGACGGGAGATGAAGCTACATTCTTCAACAGATTTGACAGCATACAGGCAACTGAACAGACAGATCTCCAAATGCATGCGGTGGGACTTACGCAAATTCAATACAGCTCGTATTGAAGAAGCGATCGAGCGGAACCAAGGCTCCAAAGTCTTTGCCAGAGATCTGTCTGCCAGAAAGCGCCAACTGTCAAAGCTGAAGACAGAGTGTGGCAGCATCGTTTCCGGGGCACCTGAGATTTTGAGTGAGATTGAGAGGTTCTATGGGCAGCTGTACACGTCATCGTTGGAGCCGCACGCAAGTGTGAGTAACGATCCAAGAGCGAGTCTTATCCGACATTATTCCGATGATATCCCGGACGTCAGTCTGAGCGAGATTAGAATGGCTCTCCAGCACCTTAAAAACGGCAAGGCCCCAGGCGAGGATGGAATTACAGCGGAGCTTCTGAAAGCGGGTGGAAAACCGGTACTTGAAGTCCTTCAGAAGCTCTTTAATTCCGTCCTCCATGGTGGCATTACACCGGAGGCGTGGAGCAGAAGTGCGGTGGTCTTGTTCTTCAAGAAAGGCGACAACGCTCTCTTGAAGAACTACAGACCGATTTCCCTTCTGAGCCGCGTCTACGTGCTGTTTTCGAGAGTCATTACGAATCGTCTCGCGCGCAGACTTGACGACTTCCAGCCTCCCGAACAAGCCGGTTTCCGAAAAGGCTTTAGCACCATAGACCACATACATACCCTTCGGCAAATTGTACAGAAGTCCGAGGAGTACAATTTGCCACTATGTCTGGCGTATGTGGACTATGAGAAAGCCTTTGATTCCGTCGAAATTTGGGCGGTGCTGCAGTCCCTTCAGCGATGCCAAGTTGACTGTCGGTATATCGAAGTGTTGAAGTGCTTGTACAGTAGGGCTACGATGGCGAGTACAGAACCAGAGTACGAAACCTATCCAATTGCAGAGAGGTGTAAGACAGGGTGACGTCATATCCCCGAAACTCTTTACCGCTGCATTGGAAGATGTTTTCAAGCTTCTGGACTGGAAAGGATACGGTATCAACATCAATGGCGAGTACATCACTCACCTTCGATTTGCCGACGATATAGTCCTTATGGCAGAATCGCTGGAGGACCTAAGCACTATGCTCAATGACCTCAATAGTGTTTCCCAACGGATAGGTCTTAAGATGAACATGGACAAAACAAAGATCATGTTTAATGTCCATGTCACACCTATGCCGGTAGTTGTTGGGAACACTAAGCTCGAAGTTGTTGACGAGTATGTTTACCTGGGACAAATAGTCTGACTAGGTAAGTCCAACTTCGACTGAGAGGTCAATCGACGGATTCAACTCGGTTGGGCAGCGTTCGGGAAATTACGGCACATCTTCTCGTTAGGTATACCTCAAAACTTGAAAACGAGACTGTACACCCAGTGCGTGTTGCCAGTGATGACATACGGAACTGAGACGTGGTCCTTCACTGCTGGCCGGATGAGGAAGCTCAAGGTCGCTCAGCGAGCTATGGAGAGGGCTATGCTCGGAGTTTCTCTGCGTGATAAACTCAGAAATGAGGATATCCGCAGTAGAACTAGAGTGACCGACATAGCCCAACGGATTAGTAAGCTGAAGTGGCAATGGGCCGGCCATATAGCTCGAAGAACCGACAACCGATGGGGAAGAAAGGTTCTCGAGTGGCAGCCTCGTACCGGCAGGCGAAGTGTAGGGCGTCCCCCCACTAGATGGAGTGACGACCTGGTAAGATATGCAGGAAGTCGATTGATGCAGGTGGCTCAGGACCGTGCTTTGTGGCATTCTTTGGGGGAGGCCTATGTTCAGCAGTGGACTTGTGAAGGGCTGTAATGATGATGATGATGAAAGGAAATACTGCAAGTGCGTCTACTGAGAGCCAAAATAGAATAGGTAAGAGAGTGTCATATGTCAACTTAATCAAACTGCCTTCTAGATAGAAATGAAGGTACACGTCTTTGGCATTGTTGATGTGAAAAAGTGACGTGTGGTTGCCGATATTAAAACAGTTTTGTAGCAATCTTATGTAACAATCATTTTAACGTTAATAAGCTATAAAAATAAATAAAATTGATGTGTCTGTTTATAATTTCAAAATAACAGCTTTTTACTAAATGCATATGACAGTATTTACGATACTTATAACAAAAACAATTTTTAAAATTTTTGTCTGTCTGTCTGTTTGTCTGTTTGTTTCGGCTAATCTCCGAAACGGCTGGACCGATTTCGACGGGATATTCACTGGCAGATAGCTGAAGTTATAAGGAGTAACTTAGGCTACTGATATTTTAGAAAATAATTTAAAATTAAATATTTTGTACAGCCGACTTCAATATAAGTTATTTAAGAATAACTTAAAAACTATTGGTCTGATCTTGATCAAATTCAAATGGAACCACACGAGAACTATCAGCTTTCATATAAAAAAAGAATCATCGAAATCGGTTCAGCCAGTACAAAGTTATGAGGTAACACACACATAAAAAAACATACACTCGAATTGAGTACCGTCTCCTTTTTGGAAGTCGGCAGAAAAAAATAGGGTTCCGCGCAACATAATTAAAACCCTAAATTACACGCGGACGAAGTCGCGGGGAACAGCTAGTAAAATAATATAATGTCATATATTGAAAAGACAGTAAGTCAGTAAGCTAAACATAGGCTTTTTAACATTGGATGTAATATATATTTCAATATTAAGTTTACTTATTACACTCATAATTGCAGTATTGGACATTATTAAGTTTATCTGTCAAGAAATTCTCCAGTAGTGGAACAGCATTCCATGTGAGGCGGAACCTGCGCCTTATAAAGTTGCAGGTGGTGTGCCGGCATGAAATACTGCCCCGCTATGCTGAACACGCCAAGCTCTTTAGAGGCCAATTTGGTCTTCTCTACCAAGTGGCCACGAAACTGCATGTCATTCGATATGTCGACGCCAAGGATTGCGATAATGACTGAGGCAACAAGGGGAGTGCCTTGAAACTGAGAAGATACGACAAAGGGGTTCTTTTTAGCGGTAACCGCGCAAACTTGTGTCTTCTGGGGATTGAACTGGACTACATTTAGTCGCCCCCAAACTAAAACTTTGTTTAACAAAGTCTTGACTTCAGACACAAGTTTGTTCCTATACTCGGCGACGTTATCCCGAGAAATACTGGCACGGCCGGTGTATAGAGCATCACCAGTGCTGTCATCTGCATAGCAATGTAGCAGCGATCTAGCGAAACAAAGACTCCACAGATTTTGTCATACATCTGTTCGCCAGAAAAAGCCAACAGCCGAAGTTGAAGACCGAATGTGGTAGCATCGTTTCCGGGACACCTGAGATTTTGAGTGAAATTGATAGGTTCTACGAGCACCTGTACACATCATCGTTGGAACCGCATGCAAGTATGAGTAACCATCTAAGAGCAAGTTTTATCCGACGATATTCCGATGATATCCCGGACGTCAGTCTGAACGACACTAGAATAACTCTCTAGCACCATAAAAATGGCAAGGCCCCACTCGAGGATGGGATTACAGTGGAGCTTCTGAAATTGGATTGAAAACCAATACTTGAGGTCCTTCAGAAGCACTTTAATTCTGTCCTGCATGGTGGCACTACTGTGGAGGCGTGGAGCAGAGAAGTTCATTGATCTCGTTCTTCAAGAAAGGCGACAACGCTCCGTTGAAGGAATACAAACCGATTTCCCTTCTGAGCTGCGTCTACGCGTGCTTTTTTCGAAAGTTATTACGAATCGTCTCACATCCATACTCGACGACTTCCAGCCTCCCGAAAAAGTCAATTTCCGAAAAGGTTTAAGTATCAGAGACTACATTCATACAGTTCGGCAAATTGTACAGAAGACCGAAGAGGACAATCTGCCACTTTGCCTTGCGTATGTGGAATATGAAAAAGCCTTTGACTCCGTCGAAATTTGGGCGGTGCTAAAAGCCCCTTCAGCGGTGCCAAGTTGACTATCGGTATATCGAAGCACTGGAACGAAGGGAGGAAGGCAGGTAGACGTTTTCAAGCTATTGGACTGGAAAGGATACGGT